GCTGCAGAGCAAATGAGTGCAGACCACAATGGAAGTCAGCGATCTGAATGAGGAATTGGCCAGCCAGAGAACTTGGGTAAGACAAGAACACGTACAAAACTTTTCAGCTCTGTTGGTATCCCATAGAAGCCCAGATGTCAAAGGGAGATTGTTCCGGCTCAAATCATACAGAGGTTACTTTGCTTGTTAGCTCTCTCTCTTTAATCCCCCATTTCTCTTAAAAAAAAAAAAAACCCTTAGAATTCCTCAGTAAAAATATTTTAATTTCACTGGAGATTACTTACCTCTTTTCTTACACTTAGGATATGCCAATTTCCCCTCCACACACTGTACTCTAAATTCAGAAGATGTTGGATCTCTCACATATCCATTTTTACAGTCAAATTCAACAAAGTCTCCACTTTCTAAATTCACTCTTGTTTTCGAGCTCCATTTCAGCCCAATATTGTTTTTCTCCATATCTTCTGGGAATGTTGTACATAACTCTGGAAATGGAAAAATATAATTTAAGCATGTACATGTGGATCTATCATTGGAAATTTGATTCACTAACTGTATTGAGACCTACTCCATCGCCAAATGGTTTACTTAGCTAAATAAAACAGAAGTATTTACAGATAAGATTTATAAAGTAAAAGAGAGATGGTAAGGTTGAGAGAACAAGAAGGAATTATCGAGAAACAGGCTTTCACACAAATCCAGGTGATACTGTGGGAAGGAACAGAGAAGTGACCGGGGCTAGATGAATAGCGAGGGAGACAAGGTTAGAGTCTATTTTACAATCTGGCCCCTCTGTGTCACTCAGCTCATGCAAATGGGCCAGAATCTAGCCATAGCTGGCCAACAGACTACTCCCCATGCAGAATGATACTCTCTCTGAGGCTTGAAAAGGAATTCAGGGCAGTTCACCCTCATAGTGCTAGATAACTACAGTGTGGTGCACGAGACACAGCAGGATGCATGCGCAGGCTGAACAGACACTACTACATGAAATCTCCAATCAAAGGTGCAGGGGACGCAAGTGCACCTAGAATGGAGCACCCATTGGGACACTACTCAAAGAAGAGCGAGAAGGAATTCGAGAGAAGGAGGCTTTCAAAACAACGGTAATCATACTGTATAAAGGAACAGTCTGTTGGAGGTTGGGACCAGATGAGCAGAGAGAGGCACACACACCATGACTCGATTTTGCAATCTGGCCCCTCTGTGTCACTCAACTGATACAAGGGGCTTTACTAGGTATAGGCTATGAAGCCAGGGTGGGGGGAACCTGGACTGTGGTCTGATTGTTTTTTGACTGGGCCAGACCTGATCTGCACTGTGATCCTGTGTGCCAGGTCACAACACCAGGCATTGATTTGGAGTGGATGGGATTAGGAGTTTATGGGCCAGCACACTTAAACTGCTGGTTGTGGTGGTGTTGGTGCCTGCATGAGAAAGGAAGAGGACAGTCAGGAAGAAGGCAAATCTGTGTTCCACTCACACACACCTTAATTTTTGCTGCATTGCCCATGTCTGTAGTGATGAATAAACACAGGAGCTGAGGATTAATTGATGAAGCTGTTTATGTCTGAGATAGAAGTTGCCAGAAAGCCAGTGGACAGCAAGAAAAGCCCTGGAAGAGTAGCCCCACAGAAAAGCTGTGAAAGCATTTTTTGGACAGAGTGCTGAATGTGAAGAGATGACTCGCAGTCTGAGAGAAAACATTTGTTGGGTCAGCAACTACAAAGTCTCTAGGCAGATTGAGAAGCCCAGCTGCAACACTCCCAGTGTAAAATGGCAAGACAGATAATTGAGGGGACCAGCAAACTGACCCTCATGGATAGAAGGTTTCCCAGTAACTCAAGACAATCATGAAATCTTTCCCCAACATGGAGCTTCCTAACAGTGATGAGATCCAGCAAGGACTTGACTTAAGGAGCTAAAAAAATCAGCTTCAGAGGGAAAGCAAATGAGTGCAGACCACAATAGAAGTCAGCTATCTGAATGAGGAATTGGGCCAGCTAGAGAACTTGGGGTAAGACAAGAACACTTACAAAACTTTTCTGCTCTGTTGGTAACTTAAAGAGGCCCAGATGTCAGAGGAATTATGTCCCAGCTCAAGAAAGAGCTCACAAGCAAAGTAACCCATGAATCTCTTTAATCCACCATTTGTGTTCTCTATTTAGATTGTAAACTGTCTGGGTCAGGAAGCATGATTTCCCACATGTTTCTATGGTACCCATCACAATGGTGCCATAATATTTTTTAAACCTGAGAATTCCCTAGTAAAAATTAAGACAGGTAATTCACCAATATTGTAGTTTCACTGGAGATTTACCTTTTCTCTTACATTTAGGATATGCCAATTTCCCCTCCACACACTGTACTCTAAATGCAGAAGATCATGTAAATGTAAAATATCCACCAGCTTGTGGTGCGACTCTGTCATCTCTTGCAAAGGTATTTGTAGCGCTTCTGCCACCATCTGTTCCAAGTCCTGGAACAGTTTAAAATCATCTGCCATAGATGGCAGAGGGGGCATCACCATCTTATCTGGTGATGACGACGAGAAGTGGGCTTGAGGATTAACTTCCTCCTCAACTTTGGTCTCCAGTTCCTTCTTTGCCTGTTCAAGGGGTTCAGAAGCCCTCAAGGCAGCAGCTGAAGGAGGGTGTTTCCTTGGTTGCTGGTAGGTCACATTAGAGGTAACTACCAAGGTTCCCAGTATGGCCATTGCAATAGGAAGGGGCCCGATGGTTGGTACCATGGCTGACCAAACCAGAGAGGCTATGGATCAGAGGGACAATATCCCTGCTGTTCCTATTGACACTGGGCCCTATATGGTGGGTGAGAAGAGTGGCGGGAAACCATGTCCACTTGCTCACTTTCTGACTCTGACAACAAAAAGGATGGTGTGCGGCAGGAAGTCGTCGGAGATCAAGGGCTCTGGGTGATCTCAGTACTGGGACCCTAGTACTGAGCAGAGGCAAGTCCAGTGCATCAGACACTGAAAGATCCATCACACACTGGAAATATGGCAGTGCGAAGGGCGTCGGTACTGGCAGTGGTTGTCGGTGCCAAAAGGCTTCTACCAAATGGGGTTTGAGATGTCTACCTGATAGCGAGGTCTGTACCACAGGTAGTACGGATGTTGATATCCATACTGACGGAGCCTTCCCCGGTGCAGATCTTCTATGTTTTTCACACCCCCATGATACCGGTGCTTCCTTGCCTGTGCCCATTGGGTCTTCAGGAAACCTGACTTCCTCTGTCGGTTCAGTACCGCCCATACCCAGGGTACCAGATTTAGATGGCTTTGGTGCTGTCGGTACCGATGATACTGATTGAACCAGAGATCATTTTCAGCTTGATCAGGGCTCACTATGGGGACTCACGGACCTTTTCTTAGAGGCCTTAAGAGGGTGTCTCACAGACATCTACCTGGGCTCACCTCCCTTCGAAGTAGAGGGTTGTGGTGAGGGCTCCTGTCGGAACTCCAGAGGTTGGAGGGATAACTCTGTGAGTAGGAGTTTGAGCCTCAATTCTCTGTTATTCCTGGATCTGAGCTTCAGTTGCTGACACAAGCCACATTTTTGTGGAATTTGTTTCTCTCCCAGGCAGCGAACACATTGTGAGTGTCCATCAGTCACTGGGATAGATTCCTTGCAACTGAGGCACTTTCTGAAGCCCAGGGAGATGGGCATACCCTTTTCCAGGTGAGTCCCCGCACACACAGGAAGACAAAGTCCTTTTCTTTTTCTTTTTTTGGGGGGTGGGGCAGCAACCAAAATTAAATATAAATGAAATAAAGAAAGAAAAAAGGCTTAGAGGGAAGCTAAAAATTAGAAATTCTAAAAGAGTTAACAATCCGTGAACAGACAGCTATAGCTCCATCTCTAGCCAGAGGCAGTTGAGAAGGAACTGAGGAGGGTTTGCACACTGACTAGCCTCGTGGCAGCCGAGGAGACGCTCATGCATGGGCTGAACAGACACTGCTACCAAAGTTCTCCAATCAGCACCGAAGGGACACAGACACACCTACAGTGGAGCACCCATAAGGGCACTACTCCAAGAAGAACCGGCAGTTCCCTTGACTTAAGGGGGGCCTGATATGGAAGGTGTGCACGGATCGGTGCTTGATGCCAGAAGATTTGCCAGTCTACGTGATTTCTTATCCTGTTTGTGAGCACTGGAATGCACCGCTTCTCCACAGATGGAATTCATGGAAAGCGCTTCGTCCTTCGTAGGCCTGGAGGAAGACTTACTGCCATGCTTATGCTCCTGCTTCCTTGACTCCTGACTAGGCCCCGGCACGGGGTCCGTAGTACTAGTATAGCCAGATCCGGACTTGATCTCTGTGGTCGGAGGCACCCTCCTGAGTTTCTCAGGCCGATGTAGGGAGGGCATCCCACAGAAAAAGGAGCAGTTGTTGTTGTGGAAGGGTGTGGGGTGAGGCTATGGAGAGGAAAGGTCATCCTCCAGTTTTGGAAGTTGCTGTATCTTGCCTGACATGCTGCCATCTGACTGATCCCAGTGCATTTTACCAAATCAGCAGCCTACTATATATGGTGATTGGAGACATCTACATTTGCTTATACACTCCCCAGTTTCATCCATAGCTTTTGTCACATCCCTTATTTTAAAGACAAGAAAAATAAGTTATTTTACAAAATAAATGGCCTTGAATACAGACCCAATCCATTTTGTAAATGACAAAATAATACAAATGTACCTGTCAGTTCTATGTACTGTCAAAGAAAAGGGCCAAACGCCTGACCAAGTACCCACAATTGACATTTAAAAAAAATACTAGGTTAGCAAGTGCATTCTCCGTCTGATATGTTTAGTATACTGAGTTAGATTTTGACATTTGTTAAGCAAGATAAGACATAAATGCAACTTACTGCTACAACCTGGAGGAGGCAACCAGCCATTCTTTGTGCATTCAGCTGTATCTTGTTCATTATTAATGTGAAATCCATGATTACACGTAATTATAAGGACATCACCATCCCTATACATGTTCCTTTGAGGTCTGAATCTACCATTAACCACTCCTGGAGGATCACATACAATTTCTAATGAGAATGAAACAAATACATTTTACAAATGAAAATAGGCCAGTGGGCTGTACAATCCATCAGCAATTATTGTGATTTATCTCTGAATAAAATGTATGGAAATTGTATAGGAGGGAAGATACTATGTTCCCTACTTTTACTGTAATGCTAATTATGAAGTTGCCAAATAGAATGTGGACATACTGATTTTTAATTGAGCAATACACACGCCACAGCTCTTCAAAAATGTTCATTCAAAACTGTTGCTTTTAAATGAGAAATGGTCTTTTTTCTAAACCAAATACTTTCACCAAAAAAATGTGGTTGTTTGGTTTTGGTTTTTTGGTTTGAATTTTTCCAGTTTCTCATAAAAATTGGATATTTTAAATTTCGTTTTTTTCTCCTTTCTACTCCCGTTTTCCCCTTTTTACTAAATACAATAGATTGAATGGTGTCGAGGGCTTTTTCCTCCACTTTTTCTTTTTATTCATCTTTGTATATTTACAGAGTAGAAAAATCAAAGTTGGAGAAGTTTTCAAAATTTCCAGAATGGAAAAAGGAAAAAGTGAGATGAAACCCTGGACATTATTCATTTATTTGCAGTAAGATGCAAAAATGAAAAAAAACGGGGAGGATTGATGGGAAAAAATAACATTAAAAATACTAAAGTTAAAATGTATATATTTTGTGGGAAAAAAATTAAAATGAAATTTGATCTATTTCAAACCCTGCAAAATGGTAAAACCATCAGATGTCAACACTTTTCACAAAATTGTTTCTCCATTTTTCATCCAGCTCTGGTAAATATGCTGTCTCAGGGCTGGTAGCTTAGAAATTTAAAGGACATTGTGTTATCCTGTAGTTACAAACTGTTACACCCAGCAGTTGACTATACCATCAGAGGCAGATTACCCTTTTGTGGGGCCCTGGGCCAGAGCAAGTGGGCCCCACCCCTTCCACCTGCAGTCACCCCCATCCAACCAGGTGCTCCTGCCGGGGAGCAAGGTCAGGGTGCAGGGGCTTGCCCAGCTCTGCCCACCCAGTGCTCCTGCGAAGGAGCGGGGGCGGGGCACGGGGGCTTCCCCCACCCCCCATGCAGGAGCGCTGGGCGGGCGGAGTGGGACAGGGCACAGAGGCACCCATTTTTCCAGGGCCCCTCAATTGGCCAGGGCCCCTGGGTATGGGCCCTGTTGGCCCAGTGGCTAATCCACCACTGCATACCATCTGTACACTGCTCCCACTCCCAGCACTTTCATACCCAATAGTGACAAACCAGGCTCCAGGCACAAACTCAGTTTTCCCATTATAGACCCCAGTTCTGTTATCAAAAGAGGGATAAGCTGCTCCAAACACTGTGTTTCTAAGGCTAGGTCTACACTACCCACCTGAATCGGCGGGTAGAAATCGACCTCTCGGGGATCGATTTATCACGTCCCGTCGGGACGCGACAATTGATCCCCGAATCGACGCTCTTACTCCACCAGCGGAGGTGGGAGTAAGCACCGTCGACAGGAAGCCGCAGAAGTCGATTTTGCCGCCGTCCTCACAGCGGGGTAAGTCGGCTGCGATACGTCGAATTCAGCTACGCTATTCACGTAGCTGAATTTGCGTATCTTAAATCGACTCCCCCCTGTAGTGTAGATGTACCCTTAGAAGGCCTCTGAGTACTGCCATTAAATACTCTGTGAATAGATTCAGTAACATCTGAAATAGCCTTAGATATGCTTAGTTACTAACAGTAACTCATTTACATTTTTACAATTGTTGTATGACAAATAAATGCAACTTGGTTATTAAATTAACTCGAGGGGCCAGAGTGGAGCAGGGAGAATCTGCCTCATGGTATCTATTAGCTCCTGAAAAGTAATTAGCTTAACACAAGTCCAGTCTGGAAGGCTTTCCCCACTGCACTGTAGTGATGAGAGCAAAGAAGCAGCTCTTTCACGTTCACTTATTCCTATCATTGCAGAGTGCCCTCTACTGAAAGCAGGATATTTGAGATACCCATTAGAGCCCGTCTCCACCTACCTTTGCATTCCGGATAGACAACTGAATTTCCATTGCACTGCACCATAAAAGTAGATTGAGATAAATTAGTTGCAAGTGCGTATCCTGGTTTGCAGCGAAGCTCAAGAAAATCACCACGTTTTAGGTACACCCATTGCAATATGTTCTCTTTTGTTCTCCCATTCAGCTCTACCATGTGGTTTTCCATTTCTTCCACTGAGATAGCACATGGCTCTAAAACAAGAAAAAGGTGCGGTTGTCTTGGTAACCCCCCAAGTAAGCACATTGAAGTAATGTGTTTACACAAGTGATGAGTCTCATTCAGTGAATCTCTACATAAACCTCAAAGCCTAAGAAAGCAGTATTTTTTTTTACCTAAACAAAGTGATGCTTTTGTCCAATTCCCATTGTCACAAAAAGATCTGTTCTGTCCTTCCATTGCATAAAATTTTTGGCATTTGAATTCTACAAAGGAGCCAGATGTGTATCCTTTTTCCAAGAAAGTAGTTATGTCTCCATTCTCAATAGTAGGTGGACGGCTACAGTTTTTTCCTATTTCTAAAGGGAAAAAATGACAATTATAATAATCTTATGCAAAAATGGTTATGATGTAATTTTTTGGCTTTGGTACTGCATGTGGAAAATGGCTCCCTGTCCCATGTTAGGGAAACCACTTGTAAAAACCTCATGTGGCTGAGGTAGGCACAATGACCAAAATACTATGGGCCCCATCCTCAGCTGGTGTAGATTAGTGTTACCTCACCTGAACACAATGGGTCTATGTCAGTTTACATCAGCTGAGGACAAGGCTCTGAATTTCTTGGGTTTTATTCACTTAATTCAGACACTAATTTTTGCATGCAACGTATTGAATTGTATATCTTGTATTTCATATGTACCTTTCTCTTTCACACTCTTGATTATACATATTTGTATTACGTACAAAACACCATCAAAATCTATGTTAAAAGATTATTAAGATTGCAAATTGAAGCATCCAAAATATGCATATGCATTACGTTGGAGTTTTTAATCGCATGATCACATGCAATTTTTCCCACAGGACCCCTGCCTCATTCAGTGCACAGGCTGGATGGTGCTCACTGAATGAGATGACTATTCAATATTTCTTTTCATCCTCATCTTTCTATGTGCAGCCCATTGCCTTATTGGCCGCATTACTCACAAATGCCAAAGGCAGGAGGAAGGCACTATGCAGGCCATCCCAAACAAGTGCCACTAAATGTGAAGCTGCACAGTGTTTTCAGTTATTAGAAGCAATCCCAGGGAGATGGGTAAGTGGGCAAATGGCAGGCAAATGTCAAAAGCACATGCTTATCCAATGGCTCTGCAGTTTAGCACACGGACATCAAAACCAGTATATATTTTCTATATATACACAACAAAACTAAGTTAAAAGACTGTTAGGGCTACAAAGTGAAGCATCCCAAAAGTCAGGAAATTTCAAAGTTAAGGCTACCTATACAACCTTAACTTTGCCCCCTGTGTGTATACATTATGACTGGCCTTTAACTGCATAATCATACTGTATTTTTTCTAGAGCAACCCTGCCTCATTCAGAGTGAAAGTTGAACAATGATTGAGGCAGCTGTTTAATACTCATTTTTGCCCACAGTGTTCAATGTGAGCTCTGTTTCATTCACTACACATTCTGCAGTGGTCTGGAGCACCCCTACTCATGCAGTAAAAAAAACTTCTCATTCAGCATCTAGTCTGCTCACTGAAGGAGAAATTCATCCCTGCACAGAGGAGCAGCACAAGGCCTATGCACCATTTATGCCCTACCTTGTGCTGGCCCATTGAACAGCAATGAATTCACCCTGAATGAGGCAGGAGCCCTGTGGAAAATACAGTATACCATCATGTAAGTGATGCCTATAGAGGGAGATACAGCCCTCATGAGTGATTATCTCTAATGGAAGGGGCAGGTGTCACAGTCCAGAACACTACATGCACTTACTTGACTCTACACAAGAAATCAAATAAAACTGAGAAACTGAATTATCAAAATACAGTACAGATTTACCAGAGATGCATGAAGGCAAATCCATGTGCCCATTAACACACTTCCTGACTGAAGGGGTTGTGAGGGTATATCCTTCACTGCACATAAATTCCAGTGTGTGGTCACTCTGAATCAACTGTGCATGTCTTCGGCCATTGGACAGAAGCAGATTTTTGATCTCCAGTTGCTGTTTTGTGAGGCTACATGGTGCTAAAGAAAAACCAGAAAAAAATGAAAATGATAGAGCCTGATTCTTCAGTGTCCTGCATCTTGTGCAGCCATTTACCTGCTCTGTAGTTAGTGACTGCAAAACATGGCCATTCTGCTTTGTACTCTCTCTCTCTCTCTGCAGGGTGTAAAGGGCTTTGTAAGATGCAAGACAGTGGAGAATCAGACCCATTATTTTCATCAAGATATAGATTAAAATGTATTTCTAACGACAACTATAAAATTCACATTGCTGACAAGGAAAAAAGAGGTATTTCTAAATGTTAATATATATATATACACACACACACACACACACACACACACATATAATGCAGTGCTGCCAACTCTCATGATAGATCTGTAGTGATATTTGGGGCATTTTTAAATCCCCAGTTCCAGGAGTCAAGTGAATACAGAGGAATCTCATCTTTTGTTTAATAAAGTAAGTTTCTAGTCATCTCAATTATTTAGAAAAGCTCGAAAACATGATCCTAGTGTACCTTAAGGCTCAAAAAGCAGAAGGTAAATAAAAACACCCCAATGTGTTGTAGTATTTTTTTTAAATGAATTTCACTATTTTTAAACCAGTCTCATAAATTGTGGAATCTTGGGGTTAGCTATACTGAATAGATCGCATGAAAATAGGATTTTACCAGAAAAGTATTATCTCAACCATAACTAACACATGGGTCACTAGTTTGATGCTATATTCAGTGATAGGGAACATTCACGAATAAATATATTTATCCACATATACAAAAGAAAATTGCAAAATACCATGTATATCTGGGAATGTACCTTTGTCCAAATCTAGTAGCCCAAAATCCCATATAAAATTAATTATTCACTCAATAAGACAGAAAGCATCATCTTAATTTATTACAAATGTCAAGGAAATAAGCCTTAAAATAGAGTAATCCCTAAAGAGGATAAACTGATGATGTATGTTTATTGGCCAAAGTCTATTCTTTCTGAAAATGGGAAGCTAGGGCCTGCTCCTGCAAACTGGACGCATGCACGAGATCCCACTGAGACCAATGAGACTACTTACATTTGAAGCACTTTTGTGAATAAGAATTGCAGAAGTGCATCTAGGGCCTGCTCTTGTTGCTGATGAAGTCACTGGGAACAAGATTGGTATAGACTTTGTAAGCAAGCCCATTTGTTCCTCCATACTGTAGCTGATATTTCTTGATGGAAAGGCCTCAGCCCTCCCCTTCCTACACTACTAAAAGGTGCATCAATCATTTGAAATGAAAAGAGGCACTAAAAAGTTGTCAAATAGAAACAGAAATTCTAAAATCCTACATCATGCACACAATTTACATGCAGACTTAGACATGAAAAGGGCAGGGTAAAAGGAACAGTAATAAATCAATAAAATTAATTCCTGCTATACTTACCTGCTATACTTACCAGCTCCAAAGAAAGTTTAGGGTTCAGTAATTTCCCCTCACAGATGATAACATCACAAACACCTAATATAGGTGTTTTAGGTGTTAATAGTGTCAAGAGATGGCAACAGTTATAGGAGAAGACACACACATCACTGAATTCAGGTCTTTGCAACTAAACAAGCATTTCATCTCATCAACTAAATTCAAAGGGTTGTCAAAATCAGCAGTAGGCTGAGCTCTAAAATCCCCAGTGCTGCATTAAGAATAAATGATTTCTCATTAGAATGACTCTCTTACATTTTCAAACCTCACTTCAGTATAAGTGAACACAAACATCGGCTTGTGCCAGAGTACATGTGTTAAATCAAATCACTCATCTGCACACAGTTTCTACATAGTCAGGAGACAATCAAAGCCATATTAGGCCATGTACTGCATTTGGGTGGTCAAATGCACGTGACAAAATAGCTTACATGGGTCTCTAAGCACTATGGGCAGATTTATGCAATAACCCATATAAACATCCGTCTGGTTTATAAAGGACTTTGTCTAAGTCAAGTAACTAGGACTGCAGTTATCCGAGGTCCTAATAAGCAGTATAATCTTACGGTATCCCCTAAAAAGATGAGAAGCCCCTGTACAATACCAACTAGTTCTAGGATACTTTGCTTTTAATAAGACTCCCTCTTATATAGTGTAAGTAAAAATATCACATACCCTGTGATATCACAAACCCCACATACCAATTATCCTGCTAGTTTAGTAGTGTATCAGCTAATTTGTTTAGTAAACTACATTAAAAGAAAATCAACCCACAGCCTGTCTCTAATAACAAAAACTAATATAGAATTAATGGACTTTCTTAGAGAATTTTGGAATTTAATCGCTTCCATGCCTATTACAATATTTGGTTGGACCTTTGCAGGTATGTTGAATATCTCACTTCTTTACACACCATAGCTATAGTATGTATATAGTACTCATCCCCAGGTTTCTCTAGGCATATCCAATTAGCACATCCCCCTCACTCAATGACTTTTTCCCTGCTTTCAGGGGAGGACTTTTAGCGGTGAAGCAGGCTATGATAAATGGAGAGATGCACCCCTCTGGAGCCCTCTCCAAGGTACAGCCTTAGGGGGCCCATCAACTCCTATGAGATCACTGAAATGAGGATCCTGATAAATATTATTTGCCAATTTCTCCTAATGCTGCAGCTCTCTTCTCTTTCTTATGATAATACAATGGTGTTTCATCTCTGTATTCTTTGTTATGGATATTTTTATACCATGCCTCCAGTATTCAGGTCCTGTGTCATTGCTCGCATTTGGGGTTATTAACAACAAAAATTGTGAAATTTGATAAATGGAGAAAATGTTCTCTCTTCTGTAATTAAACAGACATAATATAAATTGTAATATAAATTTAGACGTTCTGTTGTCTTATTATAAAAGAGACCCACCTAATTCAAATTTCATATTTGAAACTATTTGGTGATCTGCAGAGATCTCATTAATAGAAACTCCTAGGGACCAGATATGGCTTGAGCCATAAACCAGATAGTTGGATCCAAGGATCAAATGTGGTCCATCGGAAACATGAATCTGCTCTGAATTCTGATACCACTTCCCCTCTCCCCCATAGTTGAGGAGCGCTTGAATTCATGGGTTTGATTTGGGTCCATCTCTACTAAAGAACCAACCTGTGGGAAAGAGCAAAGAAGCAGTTCCCCTTACCCAAACACTGTGGTGCAGGTGTCCAGGTTTTCCCAGTGCATGTGATCCATTCAGTTTCCATCAGGCTGTATCCAGGATTGCACTTGTACTGCACTTTGTCACTTTCTCTATACTCCGATTTGTCATCACTAACAATCCCCCCAAAATCTATGGCAGGTGGCTCTTCACATGCTGGAGCTGCAATAGATGCACAAACATTATTGTTGTTGTTTGATGTAGGGAAACGTTCTAAGATCATTTGGCTTACTAATGAACACCTTACTGGTGGCTTTTCACAACTCATTCATTTTACTAATTTATAATTCATCTATCAACATGGTGCCTGGGAACATTACTGCACAAACACACACAACTCTCAGTCACTGCAATAACCTGACAGTAAAGGGAGAAAAGACAAGGAGAGAGATGCTTTACATTAGACTAAGGTTTGGCTGCACTGATGAGCCTTGCACCATGCACTGAAGATCAGCAACACAGAACTGACTCATCATAACAGGGAGCGAGCCCCACAGTTGTGTACCCTCCACATGCAAGAATATCCTGCCTCCAGTCCCCAAGAGTGCACTTCAAGGGACTGTCTGCAGCTGTGCCTTGGCTGATCTGAACTGTCACAATGTGTCACACCATGTACAGTTTTATAAACTAAAACCAACATCTGGAACTGCTCATTATACAGCAAAAATATATATAGCATAAAGAGGAGGTCTAGAGACAGGCAACTATGAGGAGGAGCATGGAAAGAGCCAGAAAACTGAGACAATGAAGAATTTATTAATATGCTGCATGGTCCTGCTCCAAAGAACATCTTTGTTCAGATCCACAAAAGTATTCTCTGAAATGGGTAAAAGCCCCTTTGCAATTCTTCCACAAACATCCTTGTAATTTAGGAGAAAAAAATGGATTGTGGATTACAAATATAACCAGTGGAGTTAATGTCGGGTTACAGTCGAAAATAGATGAGCAGGAGATGAATTGGGCCTCATATGTTTAACAGGGCTGGGGTGGAAAGCAGCATACAACAATAAATATGGAGGTCTCACTGCATTATATAATGTGGGCTCCAATATTGACTCCTCTTTTATCCCACTTGATGGTCTGGTCCTTGTTTACCAACTAAATTGATACATGCTGTCCTTTCTTCTGTAGGGTGGATTACACAATGCCTTGAAGATGGATGGGCTCCTTTACCAAAGTGTTTCCATGAGTAATTTAATGGTTAAAGAACTCTCTACCTTTGTCACATTGGTCCTTTCTTCCTGGCCATCAGATGAGCATTGTGCTCATGTATGGGGCAAAGTTTGGGATTCATATGGGGAAATTTACAAGACTGAGGGATCGTAGGATTATGTCTGGATCTTTCTTTAATTGTTTCTTCTTACTTTGACGAGTCACAATCTATTGTTTGAGAAGGTGTCAGTATCATAAATAAAAGAACTTACTGCCAGTGTCTGATTGTATTTAAATCATAAAGACATACATTTTATATAAAGCACTAGAGCAGAAAGGTTTCAGAACTCTTTCTACTGATTGTTGTTGCCTTAAGTATCTTGGGTTTCTTCCTGTGGTCCCTTTTCTCCACCCTACAGAAGAAAGGAAGGTACATTCAAATAATAAAGTACTAAAGCTGAGGGGAGAACTGACCAGTGGGTATTCAGAACTTATCAAATTGATTTTTTCTTGCATGTACCTTGTAATATTATACGCTTTAAACTTTTTTTTGAAGTGAGACCCTGTGGCTACCGACACCTAGAAGATGGAGCATTAACTGACTATTATGAATACTACAAAGAATGAGCCTTTCCATCATGGTTAGGTGTGTCAATTTACTACAGATGTCTTGATGGTTACATATCTAAAAGCGAGGACAGGTGGAATCTAATCAACTGTGCTAAAGAGGGCTGGGATCCAACACCAAAATGCCTTAGTAAGTAAATATATATTTTACTTAATTTCTTAAATGTCTTTGTGTACTATATTTACTAATTTATATATACTAATAATTACAAAAAGCAGCAGCAGCATTGGCAGGAACAAGGACTGGGGTGGGCTGCGGGGAGGCAAGGGTGTGACAACACTGCTCTATTCTGGTACCTACACCTCCCTGCCAAAATTGTCATCCAGGGGCATGAGCGTCTCTTTAAAAAGACTCCTCCTCATATCTGGCAGCAGCAGCATTAGAAGGAGCCAGGCCTGGGGACAGATCTTATGTAGACAAGGTTGAGGGATTTGGAGAGGGGTTGTTTTTTTTCTCTCCTTTTCCTTCCTCCCCAGTGCTGGATCCTCAACCAGCATTTCCATCCCTGAAGCAAAGGGATGGGGTTGAGGTTGGACTTGGTATCTCTCTGAGAGTGAGAGAGCTGCAGAGAGGAGCTCAGGTCTGGTAGGTTTAGAATGATCAATTATAACCTGTGTGGGTAGAGACCTATGGGAAGGGGTATGGTAGGCTGAGAAATCTTCTGAACAGGAGTAGAGGCTCTTTAGTGCTTGGGGATATTCAGTTGTAAGGGTGGAAAAGAAAGTCTCACAGAAAGGTGAAATGACTTCCAAAATTCACACAACAAGTCAGTGGCAGAGTCGGGAGTAAAACCCAGGTCTCCTGATTCCCATGCCTGTGTCCTATCCACTAGACCAGTGTTTCTCAGCCAGAGTGTTGTGACCTCCGGTCACAAAAAACCACCAGAGGAGTTGTGCGGTGTTGAAAATGTTATAATCTAAAGCAAAGGAAGTCTTGCTCCCACACTTCCCGCACACCCTCACCCTTCAAGGTCACGTATTCTCTGTCAACATCTTGAAACACACACACAAACAATGTATATAGGCTGGGTACCTGGAAGATTGCTTCTGGGATGGATACTAATTGCAGGGCTGGGGAGGCAGAAAGCGCTGTCCATAACGTTTTTTAGTCAAAGAACAGCTTTCTCAGGCTAGTTGCACAAAGCTTTTCACAAAGCTAGAGCCTTACTATGTGAAGTGGAAAGCTTTGATTTCCAGTTGGAGAAACCTGTAACCTACACCCAAGTTTTCTCGGTGTGGTACTCAGAGTGTTTCATGAAGCACCTATAAACATATTACAGTCTGGCCAGCCCTGTTCTCCGGCCCTTCAGTGAGTCTCCAGCCCTGTTTCCGCCACCATTCATCACAGCCTGATCCCAGACCTAAGCCAGTTCTTGCTCCCCTTCTGCAGCCTTGCACCTCAGCTGCAGACCCCAGCCACCTCAGTATATGTCCTAATTCTAGGTCTGAGTCCAGTCCCAAGTCAACCCTTCTCCTGGGATATGGTCATGCCAAATCTACACTAGCTCTTCCACTGTTAATCACTGAGGGCACAAATCACCTCTTTTGAGGGTGCCAAAAGTCTGCAGGAAGACTGGTCCTGCTTTCATCCATGAGACTTTACCAGGTCCACCAGCCACCAAAATGTATCTCCACACTGGAGCTGGGAGCTGCAATGAGCACACATCCTCTCTCCCTCTTCCTGGTCTGCTCCAGACTCCCCTAATTCAACGCCCCACCTCGCTGCCTCCCCACACTCTTAGCAGTTTGGAATGCAGTTCAATGCTGTAGTAGTTAAAATGGTAAATGCTAAGAGATTTGCACTTACAGCTTTGTGCCATCAGTGATTAACAGTTTAACCAGTGAGCGCTTAATCATTTAGGGTGGCTTGGCTAATGGTTACACAGACAATCATAACTTTTTAGTTTCAAAACTGAAATTCTAATTGCTTATATTAGGCATGGGGCTGTACAATAACTGGCACTGTATAGATTTTTGAGCATATGAACTATTCTGTCTTACAGCTAGAAATGGCAGAAATATCATGTGGTTTTTCTTACTTTTGCTTTTAGAAAAAGACTCATTTTTTGAGGCCTGGATGTTTGAAAAGTTTTTATTCTACATTTGAAAAACTATCTGAAAATCCCCCTTAGATTAATTATAAAGTTGCTGTCAGGAATAACTACTGCTCATGGAAATTTAGAAGAGAGGAGTGGGTCAAATTGGATTATAATTGGATTCTGTGCGAATGAAATAGTGTTGTGAGTATGCACAGTACTTTACAGAGCTCAAACAAGGACCAGGTCCCTTCTCCAAATAGCTTACCGTCAATCACAGACCATCACAATGCACAGGATAGCAGTTCTGGGTACCAGGACAGTAGGCTCAGAGACATTGGTGGTTAAAATGATGTAGTAAGTGACAATGGAAGAGGTGAATTCTAAGGAGGGGGTCTGAAGTAGAGGATCCTTTTTGCATAGAGTGGGAGTGTCTTGATAGGAGGCGCAAAGCTACAAGAAGTTCACACTTCAATCACAATATAATTGCAATCACACCTTCCTGACACTCATGACTCATGCAAGTGAGTGAGAAAGGGTTAAAAAATATTCAGGGTGTCAGAATTTTGGTCTTCAGCCTCATGCTTTGCTCCCAGGCTCTAAGGGGCATGGTGGGCTGTGGAGTCAGCATGCCTAGCTCTTGGTTAGGATCTTGACAGGAGGGAGCAACTTGTTTTTCTCTGTAGCAAATCTTCAGACTCTGAGTCAGTCAGTGATAAGTGGGTGAATAATGACTTAGCATGAAGCCTTAGGGGCTTGGGATGAAATCCTGGTGCCACGGAAGTCAATGGCAAAACTCCTATTGACTTTTGTGGGGCCAGGTTTTCACCCTTGGGTAGCAGCTGATGAGTTGGGAATGGAATTGCTTCAAGAGCAGTCAGAGGATACTTTAAAGAAAAAAATGCCCAATTGCTAGAAAAGATGCCCAGTTGCTAGATGATCTTAATCTTTTTGTCTTTAGGAAAGTGTTCTGTCAGGCATATGGAAGATGGTAAATTTATATGTAACTATGGGAAAACCTACCAAGAAGTTGATGAAATTTCATGTGTGTGTGCTCGTGAATATAGTCCTGAAAATCTGCACACCAAAGTTATATGCACAAAGAATAACTGGCCACCTTCTCCAAGATGCACCCATAACAGTAAGCAGCAGTTATGTTCTGTTGTGTTTCTGTCTAAAACTCTAGACGTTACTATCTTGGTCTGCCTAATATAAACACAAAAATACCAGTTCTAGCAGGTGACTTGTCATGACAATGTACATTTCTGACGTGAGCAACTCTGTGATCATATTGCTGTGATATTCGCCCTTCCTCACTCAGTCCGTCCCTGCTGTTTGTCACCCCCACTGGTTGTGTCATATCTAGTAGTTAGATTGTAAACTCCTTGGAACAGGTACCAGGTATTTCCTCATCTTCTGTGAAGAGCCGATTGTACTTCTGGGCGCAATAAATAACAGTAATAATGCTCATCCTGCACCTGTTTCTCCTTATCTCCACCCCACAGCCTGTCTCTGCTCCCTGTGCTCCTCATCCCACTGAAGTTCAGTCAAGCTACTTCCTCCCCCTCCTCCTGGCTGACTGGGAACCAGTAGTGTGAACAATGAGAGTGCAGGAGAGAGAGTCTCCCTACTCTCAGTTTTGGCTCCTGGCACCAAAGTGGCCCTTAAAAGTCAGTCGGGAGGAGCAATTAGCAGGAAAGTCCTGCACAACACCTGCAGCCCTGGAGCATGCGCGGTGCAGACAGAATCTTGAGAGAATTTCTCTGTCAAAATCTAACAAGTCCCCACTGTGCAAACTGAGATTTTCCTGTGTTTATAACCTGGCCAGATTTGGGGAGTACAGAAAAAGTCACATCCCTGACACCAGGTGGAAACCCCAGCAAGATTTCGATTTCCTACTCCAGAGAACGTGGGTGCTAGAGCTCCTTAACAAAACACTTGTAAGAATATGTCAACACACGCAAAACAAAATATTTCTTCCTCATTTCATTGATATAAATGGCTGAAATATCTATTTTAACGGAAACTTTCCAAACAAAATTCAAACTGAGGAAGACACTCAGCATAGCCAATTTCAGCCACAATGATTTAAGTTTGACAAAGTTATAAGTAACTGAAAACTAGGTCTTATAATGGAAAGTGTTGGGCATCCTATTAACAGCCATCACTACTTGAGCCATCTATAATCCAGCCAAATTGTGACATTTAGCGACTAGCCCGTGTCCAGGACATATACAATCTGATGGTCTGAGTTATTTCATTTCTCACCCTCATAAGCTTTTCCTACCAGTCAGGAAGTGACAGCTTTACAAATTATTGCATAACAGCAATTGGAAGGTAGAGCCATCACTTCAACACATTTCACAACACCAGGAGGAACATGCTACAAGCATCCGAACAGATAGTATAAGGCACACACTTCTCCTGTCTGATAGAATGCTATAGCAGGCTTCTTGTGGCACATCTTGAAATAGGTAACCAGCCATTTTTTGTGCATTCTGCTGTCTTTTCCCTGTTGTCCGACTCAAAGTGAAATCTACAATTACAGTCTACTCTGATTATATCCTCTTTTCTGAACACTCTTTTGAAGGCGGTAGTTTCCATTATTCATTGCTGGAGGATCACACGCAATTACTAAACAGAAACAGACAAACAAGTTTAACTGGAAACAGGACTTTAGGCTGTAAATCCCCTTCAATTAATATTATTTATATCCATTTTTTTCCCTAACTCCAAGGATTGCATTATAGAAGCACTTTCTGCATAAGATTGTCAAAGGGAGATCCCTGTGGACTTGATGAAGTCTATAGCTCTTCTCCTATCTTTGCTGCTGGGAGGATCTGCTTAGGGTAATTTTATTTCATTTTTTAAGTGGGGAGAAGGTAGTTGTTGTTATAAGTGTCACTCTGATTAGGATGGAAAAGCTTTATAAAAAAAGGAGAGTCTTGCAGTGAGATCAAAAGTTGGACAGATATGATTTGTCTAATCTCTTCTGGAAGTCCATCCCACAGCTGGAACCCTTTCACCAAAAGTGCCTTATATCCCGCTCACACACACTCCTAAGCTGGTGATGGCATTGTCCCAGAAGAGTGCAACAGTCTTGCCATGTCATAAATGCAGATGTGATTTCCAATGTAGTTGGGACCTGATCTACTGGCTTTGTGATCAAGATCAGACGACCACCCACAATATATGGGTTCTGGGGGCAGAACCCTCCCTGCTAATTCCAGGTGGAAGGTCTACCCCTTCCTCTAAACAGATAAGCTGGTTTAATTGTGAGTAGACCCTGGCAGGATTAACCCGGAGGTCAGAAATGCTGAACATAATCCTTAGTATTCAAATAAAACAAGAGTCTTACAAACAAGACTCCTTCACTGCACAACCCTGATTTATCCCCAGAGCAGGTCCCCTTTAATAATTAGGTTTCAGATGGATCCTCCTTTCCTACCACTAAACATAAATAGCCCTTATCTACTCAGAAACCCCACAGTGTCCTGGAAAGTCATCACTCCAAGACATATTTTACTATATGACATCGTAGGAATGGACAAAGCAGGTCTGGTGTCAGAAATCAAAATGCCCACTCACTCTATAAGCATATGTAAGGTTCCTGTCTCCATGGTATCTATAAATCAGGCCCACATGCCACAGTGTTTTTCCATCCATATAACACTGAATCTGGGAGTGGCACAAAACACAATTTCTAAACAAACCAGAACACAACGAATATAATTACAATTCACATAGTATGGCATAAATAATAGATATATGAATACATGAGTGAATCTCATCAGCTGTTCTGATAACAGAAGTAACACATACAGACGTACTCAGCTTTTGCACTCTGAAAGCTGCTATATTTTGGGGGATGCACTCAGCTCTGTTTTAACAGGCAGTAGCTCTGACATGTGGAAATATTCTCTAGAACTTCCCAAAAATGAGACTCAATAACACACCTTCTACCTTCAAAGATTTTCATTCATTCTGTTGTTAATGGCTTTCTCCTGTTTACTGAATATTCGATTGTTTTGTCCTTGTAAAGTGGGGTTGGGGATGTCTCCACTATCAACTGATGTGAGCTGAAGTTGCATATTTGACAGTTCACTGTAACAGCACTTGACTATGTGCAGCATTGAACATATTTAATATCACCCCACACCAGGGAAGAGTTAAGCTAAAGTGTTGTTGAATATTTGGTTCCTTTTGCATCTTACCTTGTCCCTTAGCAGAGAAAGCCCAGAGTATCTGAATGATGATACAGCTCAGCAAAGTCATTCTGAGGGCTGACCAATTAAATCCAGTACTTTCAATGGCTGATGTTGAGCTCTGCGCTTCTCTACATTCTGTCCTCAGCAACTGCTTTTGAAGACTGATCATGCTTTCTACTCCCACTCAATACCTCTCTCTATCACCTCTCTTTCAACATCAAGATACCAGAGATAACATATGTAAACTCCACTGGGAATACTGTCCAACTTGTTTTTTTTCATTCCCGTTTTTGATTACATGGAATTTCTCCCCTCACAGTATGATGTGGAAGATGCCTTGTGTTTGTCTCAGCAGAAGTATCAACTACTCAGTGTTCAGACACATGTATCAATATCAGATAAACACAGGTTGCTTAAAATACATTTTTGGTCTTCAGAAAGCTTCATTATGCAAAATGAGCAATTAATTCTTTACCACCAGGGTTTAAATACTACAATCTGTTCACCAAAGGGTTCATGCAGAGTTTCTGTGGGTCTGAAGAGACCTGGCATTTTGAAAGGCTGGAAAGGGAGTTCATGACTTATTCAAATGTTAAATGAGGGATTTCCTGGCTTTGGGAAGATTGAGAACCACATGTACACGAAGTGTTTGGTGGAATTTTCAAAAATTCCCATTTAGAAAAATAATTGATGTAACTACCAGTTTTTATAAACCATCTTTCTTCTTTCTTCAGAACCATTCACTACATACAATCAATAAACTGATATTCCAACATGCCTGACTATTCCATTTGGCACAAGCATTTCAAATAAATATGGCATAGTGAAAGACTTTGGTTGCTGAAGTTGCTCCAAACTAAAAACATTTCATTTGACTTGAAATGCCCTTTTTGTTAATGTTTCCAATTTGCTGAAGTTTTTCAAAATTCTTGGATTCCATTTGCCCTTACTGAAATGTTTTTTTCCAGTTTTTCTGAACTCCCAGCCAACCAAACAAATCAGTTCTTCCCCCAGCTCCAATTCGATCGTGTCGGACTATTTCATCTGGCACATGCATTTCAAAAAAGCAATGTGAATCTCTAAAAGATTTCAGTCTGCAAGGTAAGAAACCTTGATACTCATCCCCGCAGTGCCAGATTTGGCCTTGTACAAACTCCCACTTATTTTACCTGCAAACAAGAAGAAGAGCAGCAGAGATGCACAGCAACATAAACAGGTATAGTACAAGAGGAGACAAACACATAGGTCACTCCGACCAATGCCTCTTCCACAAGGCAACAGGGGGATTTTTTGGTGTGGGCACTCACTCAGGACTAGCCCAACCATTCACTGTTCAGCAAAGAGACATCTATGTGCCAGTCTGAGCATTGTACTGTCAGGCCAAAAACCACTTACTCCAGAGCACTGAACTAAATAGCTAATGTTTTGATTAATGCATTTTCAGAGACAGGTGCAGTAAACAAGCTGAGTACTGGGGGAGTTCAGGGATATGAGTTTTGTGTGGTCCCTCCCCATCATTTGTTCTGAACCAGTGCACATAAAAGCAATATAAGAACCTGCCATTTTAGAAAGCAGAGTCTTTTTCTGAGGGAGGTAATGTATCTTGGAAATCCTTGAATGAATTTACCCCAAATTTGCACCATATGCTCTAGTCCTACACCTGAAATGTCACAGCAATTTTCAAGGCAAACTCCCTATGCCTGTTGATTTTAGAGAACTTTGAAAAATTGCCCATAAAGAGATTCAAGCTTAGATAGGAGCTGCCCTATAACCAATGTTCAGAAGCCACAGATGTTCTGTTTTACTAAACAGCCAAAAACACAAGCTGGTCGGAACTTTTTGGTGGTTACCCTCAATGTTGCAAACACCCTCGCTTCTTCTCTAATACCTTCCCTAGGATCTCCTGGACCCCAAAATATATTTCCTGTCTCTCTTGCTTTATGACAGACCCCCATCTCTTGCACATACATCAGTTTTTGATTAACAATTTGCTGGGTCCCTCTCTCTCTGAAGGTGGCAGGATTTTCAGGATACACTTGTATGGGCCCCGGCGCTTTCCCCTCTTCAAAAGGTAGCAGAATGAGGTATAGCTGGGCTGGCAGGTGCAGGAGACAGAACAGTGATGGTATATCTATAGTAGAGTTTTACCTTGAATTAATTGATTACCAATTAACTAAAGTTAGTAAAAGTCTGTAAAAGCTAGTCTGAACTCTCCTCAAACATTTGTCCCAGAATACTAACATGATTTGACGTAGGCATCAGTCTAGGCATCATTACCTCTGGTTAAAGACAAACATTTGGGAAGTGTCCAAACCACCCTTTACACTCGCATTAAGTCCTGGAGTAAATTGGCAGTAAAAAACTCTAGTGAAGCCAAGTCCTGAGACATACATTTTGGCTGTGGAGGATAGCATTGTGCAAGCACAAGTGTTTATCAAACATTGATCAGAAGTTCATTGGCCAAACAGACACTTTGAATTCTGGCAAGAAGCAGCACTGTATGTGGTAAACCATGTTTTGAAGGCTAGAGAGAGAAAAATTGTCATCATGGAGGCCTCTTGGGTAACTTATCCTGGGGTTTTGAGTGGAGTTAGCCACTTTTCCACCTAAGATAGGACCAACCAACTTCCACCCAAGAATCTTACTGCTGAGATAAACCAAACATATTACACAATGGGGGAATATATGGAGCAGCTGTCATTGTTGTAGAAGAGTGTGGGGTGCGGCTGCAGAGAATGAAGGTCACCCTCTATTTTTGGAAGTTGGTTCAAAAGGCAGAACTGGACAGGCAGGCAGGCTGCATCTTATTTCAGGCGAACATTGCGTTACCTAATGTTTAAACAGTTTAGTTGTTAAATAGCAATCCTTGCCTTATGAGGAACACCAGCAGGTAGAGTTGTCCCGTCCTGACGAATCACCCACAGGCAGAGGTTGAGGGAGGGAAGATTAAAACTGAGATATTCTGTTCATGGAGTTTTCCCCCAGAATGTTCATTGGGGCATGTGTTTTGCACCCCCCAGAACCTGCAGATCCTGGGAGATGTGCTGAGGCACAGAACCTTCCATGCAGCACTGAAGCTAAGGCTTCCCCCAGCCCCTTCCCCTTAAGGAGGGCTCCCCAGAGCAAAGTGGCTCCATGCAAAATTCAGTGCAGATTCAAGTGTGCCTTGGCCCTACTCCCATCCCTCCCACACACAGATCCTTTGGCTCAAAGTCCTTCTCTAACTTTTTCTTCTTAGACGCCCAGATTCTGAAGCCCTACCTCAGATTTTACTCAGTCCTTACTCTGGCATAATCCCATTGGCTTCTGTGAGCAACAACTGAATAAGAATTTCTTCATTTAGTGCAACAGAAAATGCCCCCCCAGGGGCTGCAGCGCTTCCTGGAGCGGCACGGTGCCGGGGACAGGGCAGGCATGCAGGGAGCCTGCCCTGGCCCCAGTGCTCGCCACTGCCACCCCAGAGCCCGAACCCCTCCTGCACCCTGCCCCCAACTCCCAGCCCTGAGCCCCCTTGTACACCCCGCACCCCTCCTGCACCCCGCACCACTCCTCTGCCCAAGTGTGAAAGTAAGTTAGGTGGGGCCTCGGGCAGAAGGGGTGGGCGGGGCTGGGGGTCAGCATCCCCCAACCAGCCCTTTCAGGTCGCCTGGCCCACGCCACCCAGGGCTCCCGTGTTGATTTAAAGGACCCGGGGTTCCAGAGGCCGCTGCTGCGCCCCAGGCCCTTTTAAATCGCCGGCCCCAGGGCAACTGCTCCCTTTGCCTCCCCGCCCATCAGAGGCTGCAGGGGGCGGGGAATGGGGCAGGGACATTAAAGCGCTGCAGGGCCCTTTGCCGTGGCAGCGCTTTAATGTTGTTGCGCCCCCGCAGGAACATTAAAGCACTGCTGCAGGAACATTAATGTCCCCGCCCCTTTTGCCTCCCCTGTCGGCGGCCCTGCCGGTACAGACCCTACCAGCAGGGCCACCAACGGGGGGAAGGGGTAGCGATGTTAAAGTGTTTTAACGTTAATGCGGATACCCATAGCAGTGCCACAGTAACTGTGGATGCTCTCGTTATTATGGAGGTTCTGGTCATGGCTCCATAGTTAAGGTGATGTTGGAATTTGTACTGAAAGCAGGACTAAACCCCCTTTGTTACATAGTTTAATAGTTATTTTGCACTAAACTTGGCTCACTTTCTCTTCATAGGCTAATTGAAATTTCTATATCATTTCCTTGACGACAGATATTTTCAGGTTTATTTTGAAAGGCTTTATAGCTAAAAATATTAGCAAGGTATTTTTTTTTCAAAGTTCGCATACTGTGTCTGTGGAGATAGAAAGAGACTATTGAGTGTTGTAAGAGGACGAGGGGAAGTGATTACTGAAGTCAGGGAATAAATCAAGGACAGTCCCAGGAGGCATTTGTGAGTGAATGTAGCTTAGAGCAACAGAAAACACCAGCTACCATTGTAAATGTGTCTGGTCTGTTTCTGAGACACTGATACTGCAGAGCTACCCTGTTCTGCTGCCACTATGGACATGTATTGCACAAAAAGATAAGTTGTTAAAATGAAAGACATGCTCTTAACTGATAGATAGCGAGTGTCTTGTAAAACTTATTGCTACAATATTTGACAAAGTATAGAGAAAAGTTTAATATAAATTATTTCAGAAGTCATCTTTAATAGGGAGTTCTGTGACTTAGAACCTACAGGTCTGTTTATCTTGGGCCATCCAGCCAGCTTCTGATATCAAGATGCATCAATGTGATGCCATATTGTAGAAGTCAGTGAGCCATAACTGAGACCTGATTTTCAGAGATGCTGAACTCCTATTAAGTTTATTTGGAGCCGTGGAGGCTCAGCACTTTTGAAAATTAGGACCCTAGTTTAATAATTCCTGTCCATATTAGTTATGGAGAAAAATCCTTTCAAATAAGAACTTTGTGCTAGACTCAATAGCTTCATTCATCATTTTCTTGTAGGACCTCCTCCTTCCCCCACAGGTTTTTAGTAAGATTTGCTGCAAATTGAACAAAAACCTTGTACATTGGGAGAGAAAGTCTTTGGGGTCTAACTCATTTCTGAGTTATTCAAGTTTTACGTACAGATAACTTCGCAACCAATGAATTTATAATGGCATAAAACTGGAGTAGC